AGGCCGCGTGACCGGCCCCACCTTCTAGGTCCCCACGGCCCCTTCCAGGTTCCCGCCAGGGAGAGCCCAGCGGGGCCTCTGCGTGGCGTTGCTTTCTTCTCTGCGCCTTGGGCCCAGCTCAGTCCCCCTCCTGCCCTCTGAACCCTAACTTGGCTGGCCTGGCGCTCACCAGGCGACTCCCCGGGAAACGCGCCTTCAGCTGGCGGCTGAGCCTGGGCCTGTGCCCTGACCGGGAACTGAACCGTGACCCCCTGGTTCATAGGCCGACGCTCAACCACTGAGCCACGCCAGCCGGGCTGTTTATATTGATTTTTAGAGAGAGAAGGAAGGAGAGAGAGAAACATGGGTGTGAGAGAGAAGCATCGATCGGCTGCCTCCCATTCGTACCCACCACCTGGACCGGGAATCAGACCATAGCCGTTCGGTGCCAGAGCGACACCCCAACCCACTGGGCCACCCGGCCAGGGCTCGCCTTACGTTTTGAAGAAGAGTAAAAATGGAGCCCATCCTCCTGAACGCATTGCTCCCAGAATTTCTGCCACAGACGTGTGGGCGACGCCGTCTCTCCTCTCCCCCAACCCTCCTGTGGGCGCAGCGGGTCCGGGGAGACCAGCTCACACGCCTGGGGCGGCTGCGATGTTCTGGGCACCGGGACAAGCTTAATGGCGGGGCTCAGGCCGGGGTCTGACAGTCTCCACACCCGGCTCCCCCCGGTTCCAGCCCGAAGCCGCCCCAACCACGTGTCCCTGAGCGACGATCGGGGCTCCCTCCCAGCTCCTCCCGCTAATTGGACGCCAGGCGGCAGAGCTAATTTGGTGGAAAACGTTTCTCAACTTAATGACATTTATGGGCGATTAGGCACATGAGGCCGCTTCCACCGCCCCTGCCCACCCGGCCCAGCGCTTCCCGGCGGAGCCTGTTCTCCGAGGAATCGCTCCAGGGCCCCTCGTTAGGCTGGAAACAGCCACTGTTTGCCTGGGACCAGCCGCCCGGTAACAAGAATAGCAGGCTCCGAGGCTGCGTGTTGCTGTTCAGGCCTGTGTGTGGGGCAAGAAGTTGCGGTGAGAACGTGGGCGCAGACCCCCACCTCTGACCATGGGGGCCGAGCACAGAGTCCTCACCCGCTCACAGGGGCTTCTGTTTCCGCTGCCAGCCTTTGAAAGACGGCCGGCGTGTGTCAAAAGCACCTACAGGCCAGGGTGACGCGCCTGCATCGCTGGAGGGGGGGGGGGTTCTTTTCTTTCTTTTCTTTTGGGCAAAATATTCTCAGTGGGTCACTTTGTCACGATGAATGCACACCCCTGCCCCGCCCGCGCGTGGAAACCCAGTGTGAGCTGCAGCTGAGAGGCAGAGGCCTGGGCACCTGGGCACCAGGCACCGGGCACCTGGGCCCCGGGCACCTGCCTCCCGGCTCCGCTCCCGGACAGCCTTGTGCCTGCGGCAACTGCCAGCATCCATCCACCTCCCCGCCTTCCGTCTCCTCTCCGGAACCTTCCGTTAAACTCACAGAACCTGCTGCTCTTTTCCTTTGGAAACTTAGAGGCATATTTACACGTACATACACACACACAGGTGCACACACGCACACACAGGTGCACACACGTGTGCACACACGCACACACACAGGTGCACACATGTGTGCCCACACGCACACATACAGGTAATGCCCGACCCCCACAGTTTGTGGGTGTGAAGGGCTAAGACTGAAGTAGCCGCCCAGCCCAGTACTTCCAGAGCAACTGGCCAGGCCGAGGCGCTGAGCGGGCACTTCCTACCATTCCCCGAGTCCCAGCCCAGCGCGGGCGTGTCTCCGGGCGCCAGGACCCACGTGCGGTGGAACCTGGGCTAGGAGGTGCCCTGGGGCCTCAAGGTGTGTGAATTCTCGTAATCCACTTAAATATTCAAAACATGTTATTTTGCTTCATGTACAATACACAGACACAATAAGATCCTATATAATGAAAGCGTAGTATGCAAATTGTCCCCTTGACCGAGAGGTTGTCCGGGAGTTCGACCAGGGGGCGGGGCTGGCCGGGGGAAGGGAGGGAGGCCACGGCCAGCAGCTGGCAGCCACTAGGGACCCTACCAGTGCACAAATGTCATGCGCTGGGCCTCTAATATAATTATACATAGCTAGAAGCCCAGCACGAAAGATTGCGTGGCCCCGCCCACCTGCACTCGCCTCGCCGCACGCAGCCTCCTGGTGACCAGTCTTTGGTCGTTACTGCGTTACAACCACTGGGTTTTTATTATATAGACGAGTCTTTGGTCGTTACTGCGTTACAACCACTGGATTTTTATTATATAGACCAGTCTTTGGTCGTTACTGCGTTATAACCACTGGGTTTTTATTATATAGATATGCACAATATATATAACCTTACAGGGAAGGAGACATGCTTTTTTTTTTTTTCAAAATTGTGGTTATTATATACTAGAGGCCCCGGGCACCAAAAATTTTGGACTCG